GCTCCTGTCCTGTGGAGAAACTGAATCCTGAGTCATCCAGGAGCCACAGCACTCAGAGCAGCTGGTAAGAACTCCATCTCACTCCCTAAGCCCCAGAAATACATCTGGGAGCCAGGGACATCTAGGGCACAGCAGCTACCCAAACCCTGCCCCTCCGGAATTCCACTTCCCTTCGGCCCCTGCCTGGTCCCTGGGACTGGAGCAGACACAGAGTAGGTCTGCTCCTGTCCTGTGGAGAAACTGAATCCTGAGTCATCGAGAAGCCACTACACTCAGAGCAGCTGAAACTGAATTCTGAGTCATCAGGGACCCACTGCACTCAGAGCAGCTGGAGCCACTGCACTCAGAGCAGCTGACACAGAGTTGGTCTGCTCCTGTCCTGTGGAGAAACTGAATCCTGAGTCATCTAGGAGCCACTGCACTCAGAGCAGCTGAAACTGAATCCTGAGTCATCGAGAACCCACTGCACTCAGAGCAGCCGAGGAGCCACTGCACTCAGAACAGAAGGATTACCAGATCCAAGAGGTGGCCTGAGTCCCAGGAGTTCTTCCACCCGGGAGATTAGGGGCATAAGACCACAGAGACCTCTGGACTCCGAGGAGCTCTGCAATAAGCAAGATAACTGGAAATACAGATTCCAATCTTACACAGAGAGGGCAGGTACCACTAGAGTTACCCAGATGGCGAAAGGCAAGCGCAAGAACATAAGCAACAGAAACCAAAGTTTCTTGGCATCATCAGTGCCCAGTTCTCCCAATATAGCAAGCCCTGAACACCCCTTCACACCTGAAAAGCAGGATTCAGAATTAAAATCACTTCTCATGATGATGATAGAGGATTATAAGAAGGAATTAAGTAACTCCCTTAAAGAAATACAGGAGAGTACAAGTAAACAGATAGAAGCCCTTAAAGAGGAATCACAGAAATCCCTTAAAGAAATGCAAGAAAACACAAAGAAGGAATTAAACAAAAACATTCAGGATCTGAAACTGGAAACAGAAACAATAAAGAAAGTTCAAAGGGAGACAACCATGGAGATAGAAAACCTAAGAAAGAGATCAGGAGTCACAGACGCAAGCATCACCAACCGAATACAAGAGATAGAAGAGAGAATCTCAAATGCAGAAGATACGGTGGAAAATATTGACACAGTTGTCAAAGAAAATGAAAAAAGCAAAAAACTCCTAACTCAAAACATCCAGGAAATCCAGGACACAATGAGAAGACCAAACCTAAGGATAATAGGTATAGATGAGAATGAAGATTCCCAACTTAAAGGGCCAGTAAATATCTTCAACAAAATCATTGAGGAAAATTTCCCTAACCTAAAGAACAAGATGCCCATAAACATACAAGAAGCCTACAGAACACCAAATAGACTAGACCAGAAAAGAAATACCTCCCGTCACATAATAATCAAAACATCAGATGCACAAAACAAAGAAAAAATACTAAAAGCAGTAAGGGAAAAAGGTCAAGTAACATATAAAGGCAGACCTATAAGAATTACACCAGACTTCTCACCAGAGACTATAAAAGCCAGAAGAGCCTGGACGGACATCATACAGACCCTAAGAGAACACAATTGCCAGCCCAGATTACTATACCCAGCAAAACTCTCAATCAATATAGATGGTGAAACCAAGATATTCCATGACAAAACCAAATTTGCACAATATCTTCACACAAACCCAGCACTTCAAAGGATAATGGATGGAAAACGCCAACACAAGGAGGGAAACTACAACCTAGAAAAAGCAAGGAAGTAATCTTCCAACAACCCCAAAAGAAGATAACTATACAAACATAACTTTACCTCTAATAACAAAAATAACAGGAAGCCACAATCATTTTTCCTTAATATCTCTTAACATCAATGGTCTCAATTCCCCAATAAAAAGACGCAGACTAGCAGACTGGATACACAAACAAGACCCAGAATTTTGCTGCATACAAGAAACACACCTCAGTGACAAAGACAGACACTACCTCAGAATAAAAGGGTGGAAAACAATTTTCCAAGCCAATGGTCCCAAGAAACAAGCTGGAGTAGCCATTCTAATATCAAATAAAATCGACTTCCATACAAAATTAATCAAAAAAGATAAGGAAGGACACTTCATACTCATCAAAGGAAAAAGCTACCAAGGTGAACTCTCAATTCTGAACATCCATGCCCCAAATGCAAGGGCACCTACATACATAAAAGAAACTTTACTAAAGCTCAAAACACACATTACACCTCACACAATAATAGTGGGGGATTTCAACACCCCACTCTCAGCAATGGACAGATCATGGAAACAGAAACTAAACCGAGACACTTTGACATTAACAGAAGTTATGAACCGAATGGACTTAACAGACATCTATAGAACATTTCATCCTAAAACAAAAGAATATACCTTTTTCTCAGCACCTCATGGTACCTTCTCCAAAATAGACCATATAATTGGTCACAAAACAAGCCTCTACAGATACAAAAAGATTGAAATAATCCCTTGCCTCTTATCAGATCACCATGGAATAAGACTGGTCTTTAATAATGACAAAACCAATGGAAAACCCATGTGCACATGGAAACTGAACAACTCTCTACTCAATGATGACTTGGTCAAGGAAGAAATAAAGAAAGAAATTAAAGACTTTTTAGATTTCAATGAAAATGAGGACACATCATACCAAAACTTGTGGGACTCCATGAAGGCAGTGCTAAGAGGAAAACTCATAGCTCTAAGTGTCTACAAAAAGAAACTGGAAAGAGCACACACTAACAAGTTGACTGCACAACTAAAAGCCCTAGAACAAAAAGAAGCAAATACACCCAGGAGGAGTAGAAGGCAGGAAATAATCAAACTCAGGGCTGAAATCAACCAAATAGAAACTGAAAGAACAATACAAAACATCAATAAAACCAAGAGTTGGTTCTTTGAGAAAATAAACAAGATAGATAAACCGTTAGCCAGATTAACCAGAGGGCACAGAGAGAGTATCCAAATTAATAAAATCAGAACTGAAAAGGGAGACATAACAACAGAAACGGAAGAAATTAAAAAAATCATCAGATCCTACTACAAAGGCCTATACTCAACAAAACTGGAAAACCTGGATGAAATGGACAATTTCCTAGACAGATACCAGGTACCAAAATTAAACCAGGAGCAGATAAACCATCTAAATAGTCCCATAACCCCTCAGGAAATAGCAGCAGTCATTAAAAGTCTCCACACTAAAAAAAGCCCAGGACCAGATGGTTTTAGTGCTGAATTCTATCAGACCTTCAAGGAAGACCTAATACCAATTCTCTTCAAACTATTCCACAAAATAGAGACAGAAGGAACACTACCCAATTCGTTCTATGAAGCTACAATTACACTCATTCCCAAACCCCACAAGGACCCAACAAAGAAAGAGAACTTCAGACCAATCTCCCTTATGAACATCGATGCAAAAATACTCAATAAAATTCTAGCAAACCGAATCCAAGACCACATCAAAACAATCATCCATCATGATCAAGTAGGTTTTATCCCAGGCATGCAGGGATGGTTCAATATTCGGAAATCCATCAATGTAATCCACTATATAAACAAACTTAAAGAAAAAAACCATATGATTATCTCACTAGATGCTGAGAAAGCATTTGACAAAATTCAACATCCCTTCATGATAAAAGTCTTGGAAAGATCAGGAATTCAAGGCCCCTACCTAAACATAGTAAAAGCAATTTACAGCAAACCAGTAGCCAACATCAAGCTAAATGGAGAGAAACTTGAAGCAATCCCACTAAGATCAGGGACTAGACAAGGCTGCCCACTCTCCCCCTACCTATTCAATATAGTACTGGAAGTCTTAGCCAGAGCAATTAGACAACAAAAAGAAGTCAAAGGGATACAAATAGGAAAGGAAGAAGTCAAAATATCGCTATTTGCAGATGATATGATAGTATACTTAAGTGACCCCCAAACTTCCACCAGAGAACTCCTAAACCTGATAAACAACTTCAGCAAAGTGGCTGGTTATAAAATCAACTCAAACAAATCAGTAGCCTTCCTCTACATGAAAGATAAACAGACTGAAAAAGAAATTAGGGAAATGACACCCTTCACAATAGTTGCAAATAATATAAAATACCTTGGTGTGAATCTAACCAAGCAAGTGAAAGACCTGTATGACAAGAACTTCAAGTCTCTGAAGAAAGAAATTGAAGAAGATCTCAGAAGATGGAAAGATCTCCCATGCTCATGGATTGGCAGGATTAATATAATAAAAATGGCCATCTTGCCAAAAGCAATCTACAGATTCAATGCAATCCCCATTAAAATCCCAACTCAATTCTTCACAGAGTTAGAAAAGGAAATTCTCAAATTCATATGGAATAACAAAAAACCTAGGATAGCGAAAACTATTCTCAACAATAAAAGAACTTCGGGAGGAATCACCATCCCTGACCTCAAGCTGTACTACAGAGCAATAGTGATAAAAACTACCTGGTATTGGTACAGAGACAGGCAGGAAGATCAATGGAATAGAATTGAAGACCCAGAAATGAACCCACACTCCTATGGTCACTTGATCTTTGACAAAGGAGCTAAAACTGTCCAGTGGAAAAAGGACAGCATTTTCAACAAATGGTGCTGGTTCAACTGGAGGACAACATGTAGAAGAATGAAAATTGATCCATTCTTATCCCCTTGTACAAAGCTCAAATCTAAGTGGATAAAGGACCTCCACATAAAACCAGATACACTGAAACTAATAGAAGAGAAGGTGGGGAAAAGCCTCGAATACTTGGGCACAGGGGAAAAGTTCCTGAACAGAACTCCAATGGCATATGCTCTAAGATCGAGAATTGACAAATGGGACTTCATAAAATTGCAAAGTTTCTGTAAGGCAAAGGACACTGTCAATAGGACAAAACGACAACCAACAAATTGGGAAAAGATCTTTACCAATCCTTCATCTGATAGAGGGCTAATATCCAATATATACAAAGAACTCAAGAAATTAGACTCCAGGCAACCAAATTACCCTATTAAAAAATGGGGTATAGAGCTTAACAAAGAATTTTCAACGGAAGAAACTCGAATGGCCGAGAAGCACCTAAAGAAATGCTCGGCATCCTTAGTCGTCAGGGAAATGCAAATCAAAACAACCCTGAGATTCCATCTCACACCAGTCAGAATGGCTAAGATTAAAAACTCAGGTGATAGTAGATGCTGGCGAGGGTGTGGAGAAAGAGGAACACTCCTCCATTGTTGGTGGGACTGCAAGATGGTGCAACCACTTTGGAAATCAGTGTGGCGGTTCCTCAGAAAATTGGACATAGCATTACCCGAGGATCCAGCTATACCACTCCTAGGCATATACCCAGAAGGTGCTCGAACATATAATAAGGACATATGCTCAACTATGTTCATAGCAGCCTTATTTATAATAGCCAGGAGCTGGAAAGAACCCAGATGTCCTTCAACTGAGGAATGGATTCAAAAAATGTGGTATATTTACACAATGGAGTATTACTCAGCTATTAAAAACAATGAATTTGAGAGGTTCCTAGGTAAATGGATGGAACTAGAAATTATCATACTGAGTGAGGTAAGCCAATCACAAAAGAACACACATGGTATTCACTCACTGATTATTGGATATTAGCCCAGAACCTTAAAATGCCCAAGATGCAACTCACAGGCCACATGAAGTCCATAAAGAATGAAGACCAAGTGGGGGTGATTCGGTCCTTCTTAGAAGGAGCAACAAAATACTCAAGGGAGCAAATATGGAGACAAAGTGAGGGACAAAAACTGAAGGAGGGGCCGTCTGAAGACCTTTCCACCTGAGTATCCATCCCATGTGCAGTCACCAAAGGTAGATGCTGATGTGGAAGTCAGGAAGTACATGCTGAAAAGAGCCTGATATGGATGTCTCCTCAGAGGTCTTCAAGAGTCTGACATATTCAGAGGCAGATGCTCACAACTAGCCATTGAAGTGATCATGGGGTTCTCAATGGAGGAGTTAGAGTGAAGACTGAAGGAGCTGAAAGGATTTGTGGCCCCATGAGGAGAGCAACAATACCAACCAACCACAGCTCCCAGGGTCTAAACCACCAGCCTGGGAGCACTTATGGAGGGATCCAGGGCCTTAGCTGAATATATAAGAGTGGAGGGCCCTGCTGGGCACAGGTGGAAGATGAGATCCTTGACCTCATGAAGGCTGGACGCCCCAGGGGGTGGGAGTTTTGAGGGTGGGGAGGTGGGAGTGGGGGGGTAGATAGAGGTTACATCCACAAAGAAGAAGGAGGAGGTGTGAGGGGATTGGGGGTTCCTGGGTGGGTGGGGGATGGGGTAAGGGGACAACATATGAAATGTAAATAAAACATCTAATAAAAAAATTAAAAAAATAAAATAAAATAAAATAAAATAAAGCCATGGGTAGAGGAAATTTACTTTAAAAACTAGAATTCAAGTTTAGAAGGATTTAATAATCAGCTGAATGAGTAAAAGAGAAATGGGGATACCAACCTACTCACAAAAACTTTCACCTAAAATTAGCCCTGCCTATAAGATGTGCAAGGATAAAGATGGAGCAGAAATTGAGGGACTGGCCAATCAATGGCTGACTCAACTTGAGACCCATTCCATAAGAAAAAGTTAACACCTGACACTATTTGATATTCTGCTATACTTGCAAACAGGAGCCTAGCATAACTGCCTTCTGAGAGGCTTCACTTGGCAGCTGATGGAAACAAATGCAGAGAACCAAAGCCAAATATTAGGTAGAACTCTGGGAAATCTCAGCAAGAGGGGGAGAAAATAGTGAAGGAGCCAGAGAGGTTAAGGACACCACAAGAAAATCTACAGAGTCAACTAACTTGGGACCACAGAGGTTCACAGAAACTGAACCACCAACCAAAGAGGATCCATGGGACAGATCTAGTCTTCCTACACATATGTAGCAGATGAGCAGGTTGGTCTTCATGTGGGTCCCTTAACAATTCTTGCCTGTCTTTGGCTCCTTTCACCATAACTGGGCTGCCTGGTCCTGCCTAGTCCCACTGCAACATGATATAACAAGGCAGGTTGATTATCCATGGGAAGTCATCCCCGTTCTATGAGGACGGGGTAAATGAATGTGGAGGAGGGAATGTGAGAGGGAGAGACTCGGGGAGATGAGGGATGGGAAGCTGCGATCAGCATGTAAATTTGATTAGTTAAAATTAATTGCTTTATTGAAAATTAATTAATGGGATGAAGCCTCCAAGATACGTGAAGAGTCTGAGGAGACCACTGTATCTAGTCTCAAGGCTAAGTTTGATCATTGTCTTTTATCACAAAGCTGTGCAAGAACTAAGTTCTTGTGGATGGACTATAAGGATAAACAGGATATGTGTTATTTAGCTGGACATGGTGGCTCACATTTATAAACCCAACACAAGGGAGGCTAAGGTAGGAAAATTGCCACAACTTAAAGATCAGCCTGAATTATATAGTGGACTTCAATCATCTTAGGCTACAGAATAAGACTTTATGTCAACAACAAAAACATCTTTCTGAATGTGGAATGCAACCCTATAGCACTCAGTATACTGAGGCAGGAGGATCAGGAATGATAAAGTTCATTCTTGGTTATATGATAAATTTAAAAGCCTCTTTGGCTATACAAACAAACCAAAACAACAAAACAAAACAAACAAACAAACAAAGCCAGAAACAATGGTATCTTCTCATCAAAGTCATTTCCTAGGACAATAAGAGAGATAATAGTCTTGAGGTAATTTTCAATAATTATGTATATTTACCATAATAGTAATTCACCATAAGAATAACTACAATTTATTCTTCTATTCTATTATAAAATACCAAATTAATACTTTGTTACCTTGGTCAATTGCCATGACTGTAATATTATATAAGTCATTTCTGGGAGCCATGATTTCTCTGTCTAGGGTTTTTGATATGGTGAGCATCCCCGAAATTTCTTCAATGCTGACCCAGTCTTTAGGATCCTGCAATTTTTTGTACCTATTAATAAAAAGAAATTTTGTAAGTCTTTGGTGTCATAGCATACCTTAAATTAAGTTGCCTGTTTCAATTATGACAACTGCATTAGCATATGGCTGTAGAAACTTGTGTACCTTAAGCCATTACTATTCTTGGTTTCAGGGTCATAGGCCTTGTAGCCATTGATCTTAGACCCAACTGCTGAGTTCTCTTTGATGCGCACATATTGCTGAGGGGGCTTGCATTCTGGTCCCTCATTCTGATCCCTTACATGGACTGTAACCACAGCCCGGTTCATGGGAATTCGGTTTGCAACATCTCTAATGAGTGGAGCTTCGTTGTTCACACCAATCTCTAGGGTCACTTGACGATTTTCTTCATAATCCAGTGGCTTTAAAAGAGAAAATATTCATTTGACCTCAATACACAGTACATTTGATATTTCAGGTAACCAATCACATGGCCAGGGCTGCATAACACATTCACACTCTTTTTAACAGTGACTTCCCTCCCTTGACGAAGCTGTGATCCTATGCTAACCAGCTTTGGCCAAAGCTCACCTCCAAAATTTCCAAAGATAACATGACATAGCAGTGGAAAAGAAGTCCCTTAAGTATTTTTTAGGTTGTTATTTTCATTCTTTTAAGGAAAATTACTTTGAACCTGGGAATACTACAGAATTATGTCAATGTCTAATAGGCACGATTCAGGGCTCTTAATCTGGTACTTGAGAAATCTTGTAAAGTTGGATTTTCTAAAAGGTGAAAAAATTTTATTAACTTTCTGACTGTGGATACTGTGAATGTCTGGTTGTTGTATTTTGTTGTGTTTATGGGGCTTTCAGAATCTGCTGGTTTGGTTTCTGTTGCTGTCATTTGTATAATTCCATCTTTGTACAATTAAAACCAAGCCTTACTGTGTGAAACTCACTGTGTAGTCCATCCTAGGCTTAAACCTAGGATGATCCTCCTTTCTCTGTCTTGCAAGTGCTGAGATTACTGGTGTGTCCCCTTACTCGGCTCCCAAATATCTATTTTAAGTATTTTTATATGAGACATCTAAATGAGGCGTCTCTAGTCTGTATTTCCTCTAATCAAAATCTTCCAAGGATCTTCTTTCTTCTTAGGACTCCATTTTGGTTTTTGATGATTTCTTCCTGAATGGTGTAATGCTGCCTTCTGTTACACAAATTATATTCTTGACAATTTAAGAATGAAACTTTGGCATTGTTTGTCATTTATCACATAGACTTCTCACAACAGAAATGCAGACAACTATTAACATAATAAACTCCATGGTGATTGCTGCTGATGTACAGTACAGCTTTAAGTAGGAAGTGTAAATTCACTAAATCTTCACACCTGTGTGCAACAGGAATGTCATTATTACCCCAATTCTACACAGAAGCAGTATGTAGGAGACAAAAAGTTTCATTTGGACATGAGTTTGAAGACAGGTAGCTTGGCCACAGATCATTTCCTTTATGTACACATTTTAATCTTTATTAATTTGACTCATTGGCTTCCAGAAATGTTTAAATAAATGTCTTAGTTATAAGTGATATTTTTATTGGACATTTTATTCATTAACATTTCAAATGTTATCCCTTTTCCTGATTTCCCCTCTGCAAACCCCCTATCCTGTCCCACTCCCCCTGCTTCCATGAGAGTGCTCCCCCACCCACCCACCCACTCCCACCTTGCCTCCTTAGGATTTCCCTACATTGGGGCATGGAGCCTTCACAGGACCAATTTTTAAAACAGAACAATCTAGTAAAATCCAAAAACATTATTTTCTGCTCTACTGTGAAGGAAATTACAGAATGTTTCCTCTGAACACCTTTTTACTTATCAAATAGTCACTGGTTGAATATTGAACAAAACCCAAAAAGATATATGAGGGAATAGAGAGATGTTTCAGGGGTTAACAGTGCTTGCTACTGTTCCAGAGGATCAGAATTTTGCTACTAGAATCCTTGTCAGGCAGCTCACATCAGCTGCCTATGACTGTAGTTCTAAGAGATTTAACAGCCTCTTCTAGCCTACATGGGCACCTCATACATAAGGTATACATACTACATACATACATACATACATACATACATACATACAATTTAAAAAATTAAATTATTTTCATACTGTCCTCATCAAATATTAATAGGTTAATATCCTCTAAAATTAAAAATGTTTGCTAAATCTTAGAACCTATGGCATGCATATGAAGTTATTCTTGTTACTATTCCAGAATTGGGAAGCAAGAAGATGAAGATCCATTTGTTACATACTGCTGAGGACCATCTCACAAATCATGTGCTGGAGCAGCCACACAGAGACACGGACAACACTGAACAATGAGGAAGTTGGGAGGACATTCAGGTAACCCTGAAGGCTCTGGCTGAGTGCAGCTTCAGGATCTAGGGCAGCTTGCTATAAAGTCTCATAGCATCTTCCTCCCACCTTTCTGGCTCAAAGTCAAGGTGGCAAAGAATGCATCTTCTCTGTATACTAAGTTACGCATTTGTTTCATTAGTTTAAAAAATATTTTAAAAAATCACACATCTGCATGGAAGTATTAACAAATTGCATAAAAATCCTGGAGAGTGACTCCGGGTCCTTCCTTGTAAAAGTGGCCAAGATCTGTAATTTTTCCATTCAAGCTTATTTGGATCAAGACAGATTGACCAGCTCTAGACAACTAAGAGAAATATACCCAAGTAATTCTTGGATCAGTCAACAGATTATTCAACTCTTCCATGTATAAAAGAAGAAATAAAGTACATTCTTCTCTAGGACATGGTCCTGACTAATGTTGAAGAGCCAGGCTATTGGAAATGAAGAATTCTTTTAGAGTAATCAAACTCACCTTCCTCATTCTTTTTTTTTCTTTTGAGTTGGCATATATACATTTCTATGTGTGTATGTGTTTATTATATACACAATAATTTTATCACACAATAGATTATGGTCACTGTTTCCTATCCCCCAACTCCTCCCAGATCCTCCCTCCCTCCCCACCTGTCTAACTCCATGTCCTTTGTTTCTCTTTAGAAAACAAATAGGCAAACAAATGAACTGGAATAAAACAAAGAAACAAAAACCAACATATTCAACTTTTAAGAAAGGCTACTCTGCAGACATGGTCAAGGTGAATTCCAAGTGCTGTGCTTAGTGTGTTTGGTTTATGAAAGCAAGACCACTCGTGAGGTTGACAGGTACCTAAGGATAGAGCTCCACAAGGCTTTTCCTAGAAAACATCACTTTTCAAGATTAGTGTTGGCTGTTGTAAGAATACTGTGATGAATTTGGTTTTCTAAGATTTTATGAATATATATGTATATGTATATATGTATATATATATGTATATATGTATATATATACATCATATATCATATATATATGACAGAATACAACATGGCAGATACAAAACTCATTGGATAAAAATGTTAGAAAAAAACCAATAATATTAACAAAGGAGTTGATTTAGAAAATCAAAATATTTTAGAATGTGAATTCAGAAAAGTAGAGCTTCATTAAAATTCCAATAAGAAAAGAACCTTTCATGTCAGTGAAAACATACTTTATCATGACATGATGCTGGAAGAGCAGTGTGATAGTAAAGGCACTGCATCAGGTGGATAGCGCTCTGGCTGAATGACAGGGCTTCCTGTCCTGGGAAGGAAGGATAGACACTCAGCTGCAGTTGCATGTGGAGCACAGGCAGCAGGTCTTACTCATGTGGGCCAAGGCATGGTACTTCTCTTTGACTCAGTCTCCTTATTAAAAACTGGAAGTGATACTAGAAATAAGCATCTGGGGTTATGAAAGTCAAGTAGATTTTTTAATTTAATGCTGTTGTTTTTTTCTACTCTCTTTTAAAAAACAAGAAAGTGGGAATATAAATTGTGTGTTTATGTGCATGTGTGTGTGTGCATGTGTAGTGCATTGGATAAATGTACAGGTGCACACACATGCTGGTTTGGAAACAGAGAAGACTGGACTTCTGGAGTCTGCCTCTATCACCCTCCATATTGTTTTGAGATAAGATCTCACACTGAATCGAAGTTCGGCACTGTGTCAAGCCCAGCTAGCCGGCAAGCTCTCCCCATCCATATTTCCCAAGTCTGCTTCTATCACACAGTCAGCCATGCCAAGGTTTTTACACAGGTGTTGGGGATTCAGACTCAGTTCCTCACGCTTGAAAATCAAGCAAGCTTACTCACTGGGCAAGCTGAGCAGCACTGTATACTTTACAAAGCAAGGATCAAATTAATAATGATTCTTAACAGCAACTGTACAAAAGAAAGGAACTGTAGGCAAATCTCGGTTCTGGCTAGGAACGGAAATTCTAGACACAAATGAGAGAAACGAAACTTGGGGGGGGACTACTATAATAAACCAAGTTCAAAGGTGGGCATGGCTGAAGTGAATAGTTTCCAGTGATGGCTGCATGCTAAAACATTGTGGAGAATCTTCATGGATTCCTAAGGTTCAGTTTATATTCATTAAATCAGAATTTTCAGTTCTACACTCTGAGATTATAGAGTTGACTTTCTTCCTTGAATATATATTAAAGCCCATTTTAGAAATAGATGCATGAGTCTTGCCTCAACCTTTTAAAACAGATTCTATTAGCATATGATGTGTGTGTGTGGTGGGGGGATTTTGAAATGGCAAATGAGAAGCTGGCAAGGCTTACTGATTCCTCTAGAAGAACACAGATGCTCAGGAAGAAGCAGGTAATTTCACTAAATATTTTTAGTTTTAAACTAATCCATGAATAGTTTAATTATTAAAATCAGTCAAATTGAAGTAAATAATGCATTTATTGATTATAGTTTAAATAATGAATAGTCTATTCTCATGTAAGCACTTGATATGCCTGGCATTTGGTAAATGACAGTTTACTGCCAGTGTTAGTTTACTAGAGGGTATAGACATGAAACTGTAACTGGGCTTTATGAGAAGAAACTGCAAACAGTCTCCAGGATGTGAATACACTTTGCTAAAAATGAGCTTTCTGGGGCATGGTGTCATGGAAAGGTCACCAGCATGGGAATTTTATAAGCCAGACTTTTAATCCAGGATGGATGATTGTCATGGGCCTTTCAGGACCTGATCTTCCTCTACCACGATCAATCTGCTTATTATTATCATTATTTATTACTATTACTATAAGTTAGGGGCATTAATACCTTATCCCAAAGGCAAAGAACCATCGAAGGTTAAGTCATATACAATCTCTTTCATTGACTGTCATATACAATATTCACAGTTCAGAACTACTGATTATTTTTAAATACTAAGTTATTCACTATATGTAGAAATATAATTATGTTATGTATATGTATAGAACAGTTCATACATATTGATTATTTTTATTTTTACAGTTCTATTCATTTTCCATTTACCTTTACAACACACAGAACACCCTCGTTTGTCGCTGGGTCAGTTGTGATTTTGAACCACCCATTTTCATTTCCTTTTAAGATGGTGAAATTTGCCTTCCAGTTGGCACTGTTAACCAAGTCCTTATCATCTACAGGTATGCGCAAGACTTCAACATTATATGTATTTTCCTCCACAGCAGTTTCATACTGAAAGAAATGAAACTTTTGCTTGTAATAGAAAACTTTTCACAGAGTAAAATGTTTCTTAATTTCCAAAAAAACATGTTTTCATAGGGTTTACATAGATTACCTAAAAGCATGATCACAGATAGTCTTGTTTCATGAAAATTTAAGAAAAAGAATATTTTCTACAAATGCAGACTAACGTGACTATAATTCAACAAGAGATAGATCACATAAATACTAAAATTAGGAAACAGAGGCTATGTGTAGATGTGTGTATTATGTATTTGAACTTCAGTTTTACTCATAAATGAGCACATGCCTCAGAGTATGCCAAAATAAACAGAAATGGCTGAAACAAAGATAGATTTGGGTTTTCTAAACTTACAGCATTTTGTCTGAATGTGGGTGCATTGTCATTGGAATCCTGCACGGTTATGATACAAGTTGATGTACTGATTAGTCCAAAAAATTGACCATTCATATCCTGGACTTTCATTATCAGTTTGTACTTGTCTACAACCTGAAAGTAAAACAATTATTTAATTGACTCAGACACTTGTTTAAATTCATAAATGAAACTTGTTTCTCACATTCTTTTGCTTGTTTTTATTTAATTTATATATTTAGCCACACTCTTAATATTTTGTAGGGAAAGGTAATTTGGAAAAGACATTCTGAGAATTTAGACATGTCCTAACAAGAAACAAGAAAGTCAGAGATGGACTACGAAATAATGACATTTAAGTTTTACAATACTTTTCAACAAATGTAGAACAGTGGTTCTCTTAATGCTGTGACTCTTTAATATAGCTAATTATGTTGTGGTGACCCCCCAACCATAAAATTATTTTCATTGCTATTTCATAACTGTAATTTTGCTACTGTTAGGAGTCATTATTATATTTTTGGAGATAGAGAATTGTCATAGGGGTTGCAACTCAGGTTGATAACCACTGGTCTAGAGTAAGCAAACCAGTCATCATGGTTAACAGGTAGTGAACTCCTACACTAGCCAGGTGGTTCAAACCTAAAGAGCAGAAACAAAAGCAAAGGAAAATGGAGAAGAAATATACTTGGCAATAAGAGTAAGGCAGGACTTGATAACCAATTATCCACTTAAGAAAGTAAGATGTGGTTGAATATGATATTCAGGGACAAGCTATATAGGCAGGTAGACAAAGCTACCGCCAACCATCATTGGAAGTCCAGAATGAGATAGCTCAGAATGAGGGCAGCAGTGTTACAGAGGAGGGGAAAAAGGACTGTGAACTAGAGTTTTGTTCTGCACACATAGAATTGAATTTGCCTAATGAAGATCTAATAAACACGAACCAGCAAGACCTAGATATGTGGCCCATCCTCCATGTCAGGAGATACCAATGGGGAGGTGCACTTCCACAGGTAGGCAGTTAGAATCATGCAGAAGATGTTACGATGAGCAGAGCTGAGATATAACAAGCAACAGCCTTTTCCAGGGAAAAAGGATAGCTAAGCAGAGACTATTTTAAAAGGAAGCTGAAGAAGCGAGATGAGGACCATAAATCCATTGTCAACCTCATGGGATTTAGAGACACCATGGAAACAATCATTCAGGTAGGTCAGTGAGGGAGCTTACTGTAACTGAGATTGAAAGGCCCAACCTAAATGCGGGCACCACAGCCTTATAGTCCAGGTTCTGGATTTTATAACAAGAAGATGGGCTGAGCAAGCAGAATTCCACCCTCTCTTCCTGCTGAGAGTACAATTGTGACCAGCTGCCTCAAGGAACTGCCATCATGGATTCCCTGCCCCGATAGACTCCACCCTTGAATAGGGGCCAAAATAAGCCCTTCATTCCTTACATTGATTTTATCGGGTATTTTGTTACAAGAATAGGAAAGCAACTGTTATTATTGTCCATATTCTACTAATGCTACAATAAATAAATAAATAATGGTAATTGAAACTTTTCTACTAATTTATATTTCTTTTTATAGATTCCCAATTTCTTTCCTCTTTCCTTTGGAGTTGCACTCCACTGGTTGGGTTTTTTGTTTGTTTGTCTGTTTGTTTGTTTTTTGTTTTTTGTTTATAGCATTTGTCCCTTGTAATAGCAATCATTCTAAGTATATTATTCTAGCTGTAGTGGAGATATTAGAAGTGTCCCAATAAAGCTACTTTATAAATCTTCTTCAGTTAATAGCACTTAACTCTGAGTTAAATAATCTGACCAAACAAATTTAATAACAAAAGACTGAAGACTTCTTAAAATAACTTGGTCTAGTCAATCAATTTCTCTCACCATCATACATAGAGACTGGATATGTATTAAACCTTCTATTTAAAGAGCGAGTAATATTCAAAAAAGAAACTGAATACAATCACCACACACATGACCATATGCTATTACTAATTAATTTAATTTTATCCCAACTTCCCTTTGTAAAAACTGCACACAGCTAGACTAACTGAATAGGTATACAAAGAAAGAAGTTAAACCTTATGTCCTGCATGGCAACTGAGCCTTTTCTACTCTGGAACCAACTAGCCTTATACACTAAAGGATATGAACGAATAGACAGTCGTTTTCCTAAGAAATACACTGTACCTTTCCTTACAAGCACCAGTTAAACAGTATTCCTATTTTGTAGGGTTTCTTTAATACAGAAATAGAAATGTTTAAAAACCAGGAAACATCCCAGGAATTCTTATGCAAATAAAATAAGAGAATAGCAAGTAATAATAAGTGGGAAAGGGGGTTAAACCCACGGGAAAATGACTTTCTGCAGTATGGACACTACCTCTCTGTCCATGTAGTGAGACACGGTGGTGATGACGCCGGTGTCGGGATGCACAGAAAAGAGCCCAGGTGACGGTGGGCTCTGCTCCAAGATGCTGTACTTGAGGCGTGTGTGCATAGTGTCAGGCTCATCTTTATCCGTGGCACAAACCGTCCCCACTACAGTACCTATGTGTTTAAAAAGCAAATTTGAGCTTCCAGAATGGCACAATGTATTTGGTGTATATACTTTTCAACTTGGCACATGACAGTAGGAATCTAATTTAAAATGTGATTCTTGCCAAATAAATCACAACTTTTGATAGGACTCAGGAAGAAGATTTCTATGGAGAATCCTAACATTCAGCATTGAGAGTCACAGATTAAAATATTTGGAAGTAAATTATGAAAACTAAGTGTCAATCAATAGTAATTTCAAATCAGAGTGTGAGCTGTGCTTTATATTCCCAACACTAAAATGATTGAGGCAGGAGGATTAGGAATTTAAGATCTACTTAGGCTATACAGCAAGATCTACCTCAGAAGCAAAGTTAAAATTTTATATATACATATATGTATGCATATATATGTACAGTATAATATAAACACATATATGGCAATAATAAGTCAACTAGAGGCATAAACTATTTCTCTTAAATTAATTCAATTTTTATTAGACTTTCAATTAATATATAGATTAAGACTCAGTATAGTTATGTAAATGATCAAATTGATTTTTAAATTTTAGTTTATTCATTTATTGGGGAACACGTCAAAGCACATATGTAGAAGGCAGAGGATGGTTTTCAGGAATCAGTTCTCTTCTTCTACCACATGGATCCTGGGCTCAACTCAGGCTGTCAGGCTTTGGGCATCGCCTTTACCTGCTGAGCTTTATCACATGCCCTTGAGGTGATCTTTTTTAGTTCCCTCTTTCCTTTCGTCTCCCACTCATTTGAAGACATTTCTTTTTGCCTTTTTCTTCCACACTTTCTTGCTGTCTCTACTCTGACTTTATCTATTTTGATTTATTTTCCTTTAAGAGTCTCACAACATTAATAGATACGAACCTAATGGTAAGGTGTGCTTCAAATAGCCCAGGTAAATAAAAAAGTCTAAGTGTTTTCTCTTGATTCTAAGGGAAAACTGAAACCAATTACCCCTCTTAGAAACGAGAAAAATGTGATAGGGCCATAAAATCATGAAGCTCAGAAGAGAAGGGTTCCTCTCACATAATATTGACAAGTGAGAAAACTCAAAGCAACTACCATTACCCTTCTCAGAGACTTAGTAAGGAAATGTAGTACATGGAAATGCAGGTATAGTACAGTAGGGATATAAGCAATGACCAGAAAGCTTAGCAGAAAAATATATTAGCCGTCTTTTATGCCAGAGCCCCATCTCACCTTTATAGTGATGCATTATGCATGTATGTATGTATGTAAGTATGTATGTATGTATGAATGTATGTATGTCTCAAAATTATATACAAACATGTTTCACATAGAAACAACCTTACCAAGTCTACTGCTTTCTGGAACTTCAAAATAATAAATTGTTTCTGTAAAAAGAGGGTGATTGTCATTTTCATCCTCTACTCTGATAGGCAGTGGGAGAGGTAAATCTGCTGAATAGCCATCTGCAGTGGATGCATAGGCGATCAACTGTAGGAGAGAGAAAAGTAACATCAGCAGCCAGTCAACAGCACAGCACAAGGGAGACGAGATGCCCTGAAACCTTCCCTGCAAATCCTTTCAGTAGTAAGCTATCTCATCACTGTTCCACACTGAGATTCTTAAGCAACTGGTATTCAGTATGGGGAGAAAATAGCTCTACTTGAGATAAGGAACGGGTTAAAATGTAGAGAAGTTTAAGATGAAGTCCCATATGCAATACTGGGGAGCTTTGATTGTTCTTGGGACTCGATTACAGTCTTTAGTATCTCTGACATCAATAAGTTTCACTGGGAGAATGGTCATTGGGAGTTGGTTCTTCAGCATCATTTTTGTCTTCCAGAAACAGACTCCTTGTTTCCAGTGGGGACTCTTATTGCCAAGCCTCAGGGTTGGCTCATGGCAGCAAACACATGCTCTTCTGTAATGGACTCCATCTAAGACTGCCCCCACCGACTGTACACTTATTCCTATCAGAAAGCTGACCTGTTAACCCTTATGTGGACTATGTTTTCTATGCTTTTTTCTTTATCTAGTTATTAGACACTATCAGAAAATAGCATACATGGAAAAAAAGACCAAAAGCAAGCTAGAGGAGTGGAAGAAGATCACCTGTGGGCCTGTCCTGAAGAACTGAAAATGTCTCCAGAGTGACCCGAGAAAGGGTCTGGCAAGTTAACCTAAACTCCTAAAACTGTACTGAGTTTTATGTTCAACACAATTAAACCTCCTTACCTCATTTCAGGATTGCCTAACTAAAGCTGACATAAAGGTTTGTCAAGCATTCCAACACCAAGTTCATCGTATTCTCTTTAGACTAAAATGCCCTCTTAGAACAGAATGCAGGAAGAAAAGAGCAAGCAAGTACTCAGAAGACAGACAGCTCACTAATATAGAGCCATATTTATCAATAAAACACGTACATCAAAAACATCATATTCCTCACGATCCACAGGCCGAGTACAATATAGATTCCCAGTGTCTTTCTCGATGTAAAACCAATTCAATGGTTCTTGGTCAGCTCCACGCCCACTTATTGAGTAGAAGATGGTGTAGTTCTGAGCTGCATCAGATTGAACCTGAAAGAAAAGCACACAGACATATACATTTAACATTTTATAATTATGTATCATATATGTATGTATATATATACATATATATGATTATATATATACCATATATATATATATATATATATATATATATATATATATAGAGAGAGAGAGAGAGAGAGAGAGAGATGTATGCATTTTACATATGTTTCATCTTAACAACGTTTTAGTAGAAAAGAACTATATAACTTAGAGTTGGTAAGAGTAAGGCCATGGAACACATATGGAAGCCAGGAGATAACATACAGATATTGATTCTCTCCTTTCACAATGTAAGTCCCAGGGATAGGACTCAAGGGTCAGGCCTGGTGGCAAGCACCTTTACCAATGATCCATCTTACAGACTCTATCCTGCCGTTTTCTTTATAGCTGAATCCACAAATGCTGGGAAGAAGGGTACAGATCCACCTCACTTGCAGCTAGGTATGACTACATGAGGTCCAGTCAATGGGATATATACAAAAATAATATGAACAATAAAAATAATACAATAATAAAATATACTAATATAAGTAATGGTATAAATAATTATGTTGTAATATGTTATGTAAACAAAATAATCAATATCCATGAAGATTTAGGTTGTTCTCTAGAACTTGAAGCAGGCATTCACAAACTGAACGTAGAGACAAACCATTTTGACTGTACAGCTATGCCAAGCCGTGCAAACATACGTGTAACTCAGGGAAGAGGACCATGGAAATGAGGTCAGCCTGGGCTACATATTGAGATATCATATCTCTTGAGCTCTTGGTGCTCTCTTCACATGCTAGACCTGCGTCACTGGAGTATGACAGGATTTCATACTCCACAAGTATGAAAGACAGGACTTTCACAAGACAGGACTGAGAATCTCCCTTACTAAAGCTGGTACTTTCTGGAATTTCAATGAGATGTAGCTATACCAAGAACCAGAACTCGATTTCTTTCTATCTCCAGTGCATATGGCAGTGTCTGCCACACCGTGTAGTAGCTGATATAGATATTCAGTAACCATCTCCTAAATGAATGAATACATGATGGAAGCATGCAAAGCCTGCAGGTTGTTCTACACCATTAGCACTTCAGTCATTTTCTTATTTTATTTACTTTTATTTCATGAATAATTTTAGTCATGTCTTCTTACTTGCTTAATGCTTAAATATTCACTAAACCTGAATAAAATAGACTCCCCACTTAGAAGGGCCACAATCAGAATGAAAAAAACCTACCTGTTGAAGAAACAGTGGGAAGGGACCCAAGGAATTTTCTTGCATTGAGCAGGGAATGGGTGCCCATCTTCTCTTAGCTCTCCTGAGGACAGTTTCCTTAGTGTGTCTTTTCTTCAGTACCTGAATTTAAAGGAGAAAATACGAATCAGAAACATCACAGTCATGTGAGCCATATCCCTCACTGTTCCATGTACACGCTCTGTGCTATAGGGTAGCCACTACCTACCACCAGGCATATGATCTTTTGTGTTAACTAAAATTAATTTAAATGGAAACATCTATCCTTTTATTGCTATAGTTATATGCTAAACATCAGTAACCATTAACATTGCATCAATGTACCAGACACTAGAAATTACAGAACATTCTAGAACATTTCTATCACTGCAAAAATTTCCACCAAATGTTCAAGAAATGATTATTTTATTTCTTGTTGCAGCAAAGGGAGACACTTATTTTCATGGTCATTATTAATAACTAACCATTTTATTAAATATTCCATAAAGTGCCAAGCAATTATTTAATCAGCTTTACCACCAGTTTATTTGCATAGATTATGTGTAGGCCAATTGAAATCGTCCACCATTTTGTGAATACATTCACAATGCTGTTTCTCATGAGTATGTGTTTGCACTAATAATAAATTCTAAAGGCTGTGCTGAATAGATTATATACAGGAACACAGCTGTCATTAGCTAGAAATCAGACCAGACAAAAGCTTCGCCAGAGGGAGATACAATTTACATTTAACACCAGAGAAACCAAAGTCAGTATTTGACTAGTATTGAGAAAGATTGAGGGTTAGAGGGATGGCTCAGCTGTTAAAGGCTAGACTAGCAACCAAAAATATAAGAGAAAGAGTGAGAAACAAAAGACAAAATGAAGAAAGAAAATGGAGGGAGGAGGAAAGAGAAATAACAGGAACAAAACAGGACAAGAGTGGAGAGAGGGGGAAAGGAATGGAGGGGACAAGAGGGGAGCGAAGGAGAGAGATGCTATTTCTCCATTGCTCCATTTTGCTACTTTAAGAAAAGAATTTTACTGGAAAGACACCCTGCCCCATGCTTGAGAATGTCCAATGTGCTTTGCATACCTTCTTCTTGTGCTCCAGGATTACAGTGATCTCTTTTTGTGTCTGCATCTTTGAATCAGAAAGCTGAATGGTAAATGATCTTTTCTCATCAGACAATACAATAGCTCTGGTGGGATAAACTGACCCGTCATCTAGAACTCTGAAATCAGGATCGCTTGGCATGATGCCATCAGCCGAGCTGAGACACTCTTTCAAACTAACTGCCAGCAAAAATTTTCCAGTTGCAAGGTAGAGATACATGCATAAAGAAGACATATATGTTAAAATAATATACATTATCATAAAAACCAAGCACTTTGCACTTGTGGTATACCTTAATAGTTCTCTTTCATTCTTAAAAATAGTAATTTTATTTTAATTAAAATTGTCTTGGCTGTATATTTGTATTGAACAAGTTGTTTTAAAATTAACATGCTTCTAGCAGGCTTATGAAAATGATCTCCCACTAAAGAGGTGGACACATGACTCTCATGACACAGGTGAGACACACGCCCTCACATGCACCTGAATAAACACAGTGAAATTTCCCTCAACAATACACTGGGGGTGTCTCAAGATGCACCTGCCTTTAGTCAGAAGATACACAAAGATGCACAGAGAACAAAAGAACACATGAGCTGAGAGTCAAGTAAGAAAAACTGGTCTCTGAATTCTTCCCATAGCACTTTTGGAACATTTCATCCCCACAAACACAACTTTCCCTGGCCCTCTACAAGAACACCATGTGGCATCTTTCCTATCTGGAAATTTTGCCTCCTAATAAAAGGTAATGATATTTAAGTATCAAAAATCAACTGCTTCCCATCTCATTTTCCATTTGCTTTTGTAGAAACCAAACTGATGATGTTCAAACAATGACCTCACCCAAGGGCTCCTTTGCTTCCTGCATACCTTTGCTTTAGCCGAAATCTGTTATGGGTGGGCTTAACAAAACAATTGATGTTTCATCAAAAGGCAGTGAATGTTTTAAAGACTCTAACAATATATTTCTCTCCTCTTTATATCTTTAGAAGAATGATTCCTTCAGGCTTATTCTCCCAGAGGAACACCATATATCTCCTTATCTTTCTTCTCTTGTATCCCACAGTAGAAAAAGTGAAACTAATTTGATGAAATCAGCTAAGACATTTTTGTCAGAAATTGCACACATTATTGAAAAGGCAATTTTATTTATCTTGAACAAGTATTTCTTTTTTAAAAAAAAAATTCATGGTGGTTTCCTCTAATTTTTCTACACCACCACAAAAGTAGATAGATATAGATAGATAGATAGATAGATAGATAGATAGATAGATAGATAGATAGATAACCTATCTAGGCAAAGCTACCCAACTACTCGCAGAAAGTAATTTCAGTCAGGTCCTCAGGTCTCCATTTTAAAGTGGCTGACTACAGTTCTGAGGAGAAACCATTGTCTTGCTTCTCAATAATGATATAATACTTCTCCAGGGCAGTCAAGATGTCTTAGTGAGTAAAGATGCTTAAGCTAAGCCTGACACTGAGTTTAATCCCTGGTTCTCACCGAGTGGAAGGAAATAACAAAATACCACAAGTTGTCTTCTGGTCTCTACAGTGGATGCACGTGCATGCGCGCCTGTGCACACACACACATACATGCACACTCACATGCATATGTGCACACACACCATAGCACAAGTGTGCAAACACACAAAAACAAACTAAATAAAATCTAGATTTAAAATAAAAGAATATTAATGTGTTTCTCTTCAATACACATCTATAGTTCTGCAATAATCAAACCCCAGAGTATTAAAAATGGAATATTTTAAACTGTTAAAAGATAAATGACTTTAAAAGCATTGATTGAAAAGTCACAGTAGAATTGACCACCTAATTCAACAGCTACAAAGCAAAAATACATATTTAAAGTAATGCTGAATTGTCTCTATTTCTAAGTCAATGTAGACCGCTCCAGAGTACATGACGACACCCCATTCCTGGCAGACTAAGAACATTATAAGTCTCTTTCAAAGAGGCTGTTCAGAAAGTTCTCACCTCTTCCGATGATTTTGTCTGCCTCTAGTGTTGAAGGTACATGAAGTGTCACCTTTTTACAGGCTTCACCAACAAAACTGAAGACCTAGAAATTTTTAAACGTCACATTAGTTCATCTCAGAATAAAAAATGACCATTTCAGTAAATGAAGAACAGGAAATTGACAAGCCCTACCTGAAATTTATGAAACAGCCTCAATGTTTTAGTGACAGACTAGCATGTGCTTGATAAAGAGTGTCTGTATTCCACTGACAACTAACTTCATGCTTAACTGAGAAAGACAAAATGTTCTTCTCCATTATTGGAAATACAATCATACCTGCCCCTGCCACTGATGTAGATATACAAATTGATTGGAAAAGAAGAAATAAGACTGTATTCATAGATACTACATTCATGTGGATATACAAAAATGAGGATTACACAATTTTTGTGCTAGCAACAAAACAAATAAATGAGTTTAGAAAGAATATAGGAAATAAAATGTACATATATAAGTGGGTTGTGTGGGCCACCAAGACAGCTAACTCAGTAGGTACCTGAGCCACTAACATGGATGCCACCAAGGCTGACTACCTGAGTTCAATACCCACAACCCATCTGTTGGAAGGAGAGAACTGACACCTACCAACATTTCCTTTGACCTTCACAAACATACCATGGTATACACACAAACACACACACACACACACACACACACCAAATAAATAGTGTATATAGGTTGCTTTCCTATAAACTAGCAAGCAGAGAGAGGAGGGAAGGAGGAAAGAAGGAAGGAAAGAAGGAAGGAAGGAAGGAAGGAAGGAAGGGA